TTCCTGTTAAGCATGGTTAGTTTTGATAACAGGATGTCAGTGAGCAAAAAGCCTGATGAGGAAGCAAGAATATCAGTTATTAAGTACTACTATACCCACCTCTTCAATTATACCCCTGATTATCTTGAAAAATATAATAGTAGCTCTAAGGACTTTAGACATAGTTCTGGGTTTATGGCATGATTTGCCTTTCATATTTTATTGATTTCCAACTTGAAAAGTATAGGCCCAAAGAGTAATATTTTATGACACTAAACCAAACGCATATTATAGGAAAATTTCTCTCTTTTAATGTAGTCTATGGAATTTTCCTGCCCAATTCTATGCTAGTATTTTATCTTTTTGTTGTTGTTTTTAGAAGCTTCATCAACCCTTTAAATCCTTAGGACAAAATTGCCCTTAAATTTTTCTAAGAAGAAGGTAGACGGCCATCCAAATTTTTTCAACATTCCATTTTTGGCCCCCTTTCTTAAAAAGGGTATTGGTTCAGTTTAATTAATACTGACTTTTTTAATGCACAAAAATCTACCTCTGCTTTTTAAAGCAAATAAAAGGAACAAAAATATGGCATCACTCCAATAATCAAATGCCAATAAAAAATGGAAACAGTACAAAATTCTAAGCAAATCTCAAAAACAGCAGATTCATAAGTAGAACACCATGCAATAATTTTAGCAAGAAAAAGCTTAACAGGTAAAAGAAACCGAATACTGCATTATACTGAATACTAAGTTAAGTAACCATAATTAATCTTATAAACTTTCCAATATCATAACTACTTGCTTTTGAATAACTAAATGTAAGCCTCATTTTTTAAATTAAATGCTTATTCAACAAAGTTAATTGGAACAAATATATTTATGCAAATTTACATCCTAGAATACCAGAGTAAACAGGAGACATCAGTCAAGGGTGAATAAGTAATTTCTATTCTTTTTCATCATCTGTATGATCAGGTGGCAAAGGACATGACCTGTGGAAAGAAGAGAGAACTTCGATAGTCACCTGAGTCAAATGTTTAAAAAACAGAACATAAGTAGTTTTTAAAAACTTATGTAAATCAGGAACATTAACAGCGCAGTGGGTCTTGTCAACTGACCAGAAATGGGAGAAAATTAAACTCCATTAATTGACAAACTCCTACAGATTCCAAATACTAGAGTGACAAAATTTTTAATAATCTATTTTGCCTGTTAATTTGCCAAATCACTTTCCCCTTTAGGATATGTTGCCATTTTTATTAAAGAGGGAATCTCTATTTCTATAGCATCTTCTTTCAATATGTTAAGTGGATTGATGAAGAGTACAATCCTTCAGCAAGAACTCTGAGATTATGAAAAGCAAAAGAATTTAACCAATCCACTTGAGCAGAGAAAACAGCAAGTTGACATATTTGACTGTATACCCTTTGGAACTATATGAATGTATTATCTAATTAGAAAAACCCCCAAATTGTCTTAAGTTGGCATATGGTAATTACAGCTTTTGAAAAATAACTTATATTATCCCAAAGCCATTTTGTACTCATTATACTTTAAAAAAAAATACATTTATTTATTTATCTATTTTTGGCTGGGTTGGGTCTTCCTTGCGGCACGTGGGAGTCTCATTACGCTGGCCTCTCTTTGTTGCAAAGCACAGGCTCTAGGTGCGCCAGCTTCAGTAGTTGAAGCACATGGGCTCAGTAGTTGTGGCTCGAGGGCTCTAGAGCACAGGCTCAGTAGTTGTGGCACACGGGCTTTGTTGCTCCGTGGCATGTGGGATCTTCCCAGACCAGGGCTCGAACCCATGTCCCCTGCATTGGCTAGCGGATTCTTAACCACTGCACCACCAGGGAAGTCCCTCATACTTTTTATAGAGAAAAAGGCAATTAAAAACTTAATCATAAATCAGAATTTTTTAGAACTGATAAAGATTTGTGAGATCTATTTTAAAATGGTTTTCAAATTAGATCCAGTGAGCCTGAATGGTCATAGGGCAAGTGAGTGAAAGAAGGAAGCTAAAACAAGGATATTCTGACTTGGAATAAGATTACCATTGACTCACCTACTCTTATATTACCAAGAGGTCTTCATTGTACTTTCCTGGAAATTAAATCAAGTTAACAAATGAACACTATCATAACCCAAAATTCTATTTTTTCAAGGACCTGATTTAATTTACTTTAGGTATCATAGTTCTGTTCAAGGTTTTAAGAAGACAGTTTTTCTTGATTCTGATTCTCCCCCATGCATCTGCCTCTGTGAGAATAAAGCCATAGGAGTAGCCATATTCCAGACTAAGAATTAGGGAGACAGAAGTCCTTCTGATATACTGGTAGTTTTCTATTTACTACCAATAGTAAATCTATTGAAAGATTTACTATCAAAAGGAAAAAAAAATTTCTATTTCTTTAACGTATCAGTATGAGATAGATGTTCACTAACCTATCGTGGTAATCACTTCATGATGTATGTAAGTTAAATCATTACACCTTGAACTCATATAGTACTGTATGTCAATTATGTCTCAAAAAAACTGGGAGGAAAAAAAAGCCAATTTATTGATTTATTATAAATAAAGGGATAACTACAACTCTCTTAAACAAAAACAAATCTAAAACAGAGGCCTAAAGTAATAATATAAACCTCTATTACCTAGTTTTATGTCACAGATTTTATTATACTATGGATCAAAGTGCTTTATGAGACTATATGTGTAATGTTTTCCATATGATAGGAAGCCTGTAATATAGGTTTTATTGCTGTCATGATCAATGGTATAGCCATATTTGGCTATATTACCAAATATTTTCTTTCATTAATGGAAGTCATAAATAATTCAAGAGGATTGTCATATGTCCTAGAGCTAATATTGACTATTAGCTTGTTCACATTAGAATGAGAAAGAACAAGGAAGAATGGTGCCAGTAAGTGAGAAGGAACTAAAGGAGACTTACAGGATCATGAAAACAAGTCTATTAAAAAACTCTATCCAAAAATGTATCCCCTTCCTTGTTGATTTTATTGAAACAGAAATGATAATAGTGATGTAGCAACAAAGTATAAAATTTCGTTACTGCTCCAGAATTTGACACTCCTTTTAAATATCTCATTAGATAACAATTTACTAAATGACCTTGAACAGTATTAAGTCTTAAAATTTTATATGCATAAACATCATTTTATATGTCAAATACTTTGTTTTAACTGCTCATTAACCATTTATTTTCATTTAGTTGTGTTCCATGCAAATCAATTCCAAACAATGTACAATCCAAAACAGGTGTACAGTGTTCAGATATGAAGCAAGAGGTGTTCATTCACACGCACAGATCTCACATAACCTGAGATCAGTTGGATCTAGTTCCTGTGTAGACTTCTAAAGATGGCAAATACTGGCTTAAAACTTATTAAGAGTACTATGGCCATATTGGATACTTAACATCTAAGCATCATTGTGTGAACCTGTGAACCAAAGATTTCACAGTTTCTATTTCTAAAAAGGTTTCTGTACATCAAGGCAGTTGTAAAGTTTTATTTTCCAGGATCAAGTCCACTTAGGCTTAGAACCATCTAAAAATAACGACTGATGTAGAAAGTGCTCCACATGTAGCTATTCCTATTCATTAAGTTTTATATTTATATATATATGTTTATGGAAAGAGCACAAAAGAGTTATGAATTCAATGCAGGCAAGTTTCCAGTCTTCACCTCCCAAATACCTAATACACATTATTTTTGCTGCCTTCATATATTTGCCTCTTAATTTCAAGATTTGTCAAATACGCCTTCCAAACAGATCAATTTTTTAAGTTGTAAAAATTATTCAATCTATGCAGAAATAAAAAGCAATATTTTAAGACTGATTGAAGTCAATGCACTTCTAATCTTTGGAATCAAGTTAAATGATCCAACTTAGCTAAATAAACCTGGATGGGAATGTGTGATAGGAAATACCTGTTATTTGACTTTTAAGTGCATTTGCTGGGATTACTTATGCTTGGATTTGTAGTAGATTCCAATCCATCATTGCCCTGGAATGTGTCAGTTACTGCAGAAAGTCAAATGCAATGTCAAATCCAAAGCCCCAGAGAAAAGAGTTAAGTTCCCAAGAGAACAGTGAAAACAGTGTAAAACCTGATGGAGAGTATATCAGCATTAAACCAGGACTGCTGAAACAATACACAGAGGATTTGCGGTAATACCTGGTGGTTCCTTCCAGTGTACATCATAAATAGAATCACTGAAGCTTTTTATATTACCTAATCATTTTACCGCCTTCTAGATTTCGTGAACAAAATGGAAACTGAATCTCCATTCCATAGCTCATCCTTTTTCTCTAGATGAAGATGAAATTATTCTTATTTGCAAGTTACAGTTTGAAGTGTCCATATTTCTTAAGTTATACTTAATCACATCATTAATTCTCGATGTTGTCTCTTTCCAGTCTTGTACATGAAACTCCAGCAGATTTAACATTGGCTTTCATTATCTGGTCAAATCCTTCAGATGCTCTTTAAACTAGTCCAATTTGGGAGTCTCAACATTCTCTGTGTTAATAAAACAAGGGATGGAATTAGTAGACTTGATGAAGACCTGTTTATTTTCCTTGCCACACTGGACTTCCAGATGGCGCACAGATTGGGCTTTAGGATATGGGTTGGTAAACTGTAGATGTTTCTTGGCCAAGTCTCTTAACGGTAGAGATGTAGAAGGGCAAGCAAGACCACAAGGAGACTAGCTGTTGACTGCAAAGCACAGCTGACCGTTGTGGTTTCGAACGGAGGACCTTCCGTGCCAGTTAAAGGAACGAACGAATAAATCTGCATGAGTAGGAAAGCACCAGAAGCAGCAGCCCCAATCTGAGCCTGGCCACCATCCCCTTGCCCATGGTGATCACTCCGCCTTGGGCAAGGCTCGCTGATCGGTGCCGTGGAGGAGGATCACAGGCTACTGGCTGGTGCAGGGGAGGTATCTAGCAGGGTCTTAAATCTAGCCGGAGGCTTCATAATGGCGGTGACGTGGCACCACCAGCGCTCACCACTCCCCACCTCCAGTCAAATAATTTGTTTTTGAAACAAAAATTTCAAAATTCTTTAGAGAGTCTGGACACTATTACTTATAAATCTATTTAAAAAGCAGGTTTCCATTGCTTTTTTCACCCCAATGGTATTATTTTTTTTCCTGATTCTTAAAACATTTGTTGTTGAAACTTGGTACCACTGAGTATGAGAGGTTTTTACCCAGATATATCACTATTGATATTTGGCATATTTTGTACAGAGATTTGGTATATTTAGATACATATCTTTTACACAATAATAATTGTACTTTTGTATCAGAATTTTGGCTTAACACTTATCATGAGCATTTTCCTGACATTAAAAGCTTGAAAGCATGATTTAATTATCTTCTTAAAAAGTTTACACAATGAACTCTGCATCTTTGCAGTTTTATCCCCACCTTGTTTTGTTTTGAAGTTTTCTTATGTATTTACAGAGAAGTTGTAAAGAAAATACACCACGGTGTTAGTTTTGGTTGTTTCTAAGTGATGGGGATTTTTATATTTTCCAACTTTTCTGCATTGGGTATATATTTCCTGTGGAGGCTGAACTAGTAGTTTTAGAAAGGTGGAATTAATGGAATTCAAGCTAGATAAACCAAAATGGAAATTGCTTTTTGAAAAAAGACTATAGAAAAGAGACAGAAAAAATTAAAGAATAAAGACCAGAAGTTCATGATTAATACTGTAACATCATCTGAATGGGAACTGATCCTCTTTGAGTGACTGAAATGAGTAAAAATACCTTTCATTGATGTTTGAAATTTGGGAGTGATATAATAAAAGGTTAGCACAGTTTAAAAAACCTCTGGTTTGTATTTTCTTATCTGCTCAAACAGAAATTTTAAAGTTACTCAATATTCTGTTGTCTTTTATTTTCAAGAATATAAGTATTCCAGAATATAAAAACTTACTTTCTCTTTGCTTTTCCCAAGCCACTGCTTCCTGCCTCCTCAGGAATCCTATTCTCTTTTTCTGAATCTTTAGGGGACAGCCTGAAGAATTCTCCGATTCCTTTTTGCCACTTGGGAGTTGGGCGCACACAAACTGGATTCCCTCCTGCATACTTATTTTCAGCTATAAAATATAAACAGATAGAACTAAATAAAAATTAAGAATACAATCACTATTCCTTAAAGGGAAAGTTAATTCTTTAACATCAAATCTAAAGGGTATTAAATGGTGTTACATCCATCTTTAAATTTTAAAATGTGACATGATAAAGCTGTATTCAGTTATAATATAATGTATAACACTTTATTACACTTATCCTTTAGCCTAGAAAAATAGCATTAACAAGATGTTAACAACTAGAAAATATTTTTCATATTTTGTCCACAAGCTGAGCTATTCAGTTAGTCTTATGTACTGTCATACTGAAGTTTGACACACTTTTTCCGGTATGTTCTTAACTACAGCTTGTGGAATTAATCTTCCAAACTGCTCAACTTCCTCCTAAAAGGAATGAGACAGCAGGTGGCATAGTATTTTCTCAACTTCTCCTGGCACAGAAGGAACGATGTGAAACTATTTCCCTGGCCCTGTTTTCCCTCTTAATGTCCCAAAAGCAGTAACAGGAGCTGCAAAGTTGTAAAACACACACACCGACACCAAACTAAAATAAAAGGAAAGAAAGGAGAGAGGGAGAAAGGGAAGGAAGAACAAAGAAAAACATGTAGAAATGAAAACAAAAACGTGATTAGCACTGTCAACTACAGTCCTGATTCTTAATCTAGGTACTTAAATAGCCTCTTACAAGAAAAAGCCCAGTTGTCAATACTAAGAAAAATAACAACGCTAAAGTAGAAAAGAAAAACGGGTTTGAAGAGAAACTGTGTCCATCCCTAACCCGAGACTTGAAATTCTTTACAATGCGACCCACTCCGCCCCGCACCCCTACCCCATCCCGCCAAGAGACAGGCCCGCTCATTAGAGCAAAAGGCAAGGAGGAAATTCGGGGGTGAGGATCTCAGGAAAAGAAATTCCACGGTGGGGCAGGGGGCTCGCAGGTCAGGAGAACTGTGGTGCCAGGCCTGATCTCCTTTTGAGAAGGTTTCTCCAGGATCTTGCAGGGGCGCTTTTTACCTTTCCTTGACGAAAGCGGCGTGGAATTAGCGGCAGAGGTGGAGGAACCAAGCACCTTCCTGGGGGCTCGAGAAGCCACCACTGCGGAGAGAGGCAAAGAAGGACATTCAGAAGGGGGCACGAAGAGTCTCAGAGCCACGTTCTCACCACACTCTCCGACCCAGCCTATTGGAGAGGAGAGGCCCGCGATCCAGAACAGCAGATAACCCTCCCCTGTCCCCGCCGCGTCTTCCTCCTGGTTAAAGGGATCGGGCCGCTGCTTCCTGACGGGCTGCACCAGTTTGGCGGACAGGGTTGTGGGCAGGTCCGGCTTCTCCCGCCCGCGGCGGAGCTGCCCAGGGAACCACCTGCCCTCCACTACCATGCTCGCCTGCCTCACCTTTTCTGTAGGTGCCAGGGACACTGCCTGCTTTAGTCCGCACCATGTTCAAACACGAGATGAGAACAACCAACTGACTCCCCAGCCGAAAATGTTTCACGGGACAAGGCCCCGAAAACGAATCTCCCGCCACCGTTTATATTGGTCCCTTTCCCGCGCGCTCCACCGACTCTCCCAGGCCTCCGCTTCCATTGGTTCCGCGCCTTTCACGCGCAACCAATCGCCAGTGTCCAGTGGTGACCGCGGCGGGGTTGGGCGCAGTGCTGATTCGTCCATCAACTTGCAGAAGCTTGTGATTCGTATCCGCCTGAGGTGGGCGGTGCCAGGGCGCTTTCCTGGGGTGCCCCATGTGTGGCTGCTAAGATCATGAACTAGGTAAAGGGGCCTGTTTAGAAAATAAAACCCAGGAAAGACAGCGAATTCCAACATTTCTTTAAAAGTTAACCACAGGCTTAAATCCATAATGTCATTCCTGGAAGTGACACCTGAAATGAAGCGGACTTTTTAATATCTCAGGTATGAACACTCTTTACAGCATCCATAACTAAAACGAGTCTATGGAATGGGAAAAAGCTAATACAATTTATTTACAGGGATTTTTTTTTTTTTTTTTTTTTTTTTGCCAGGCCGTACAGTTTGTGGGATCTTAGTTCTCCGATTAGGCAACGAACGCTGGCCCCAGCAGCAGTGAAAGCTCCGGTCCCTTACCACTGGACCACCAGGGAATTCCCTATTTACAGGCATTAAAAAAAAAAAAAACCAAAACTTTTTAGGATGGTGTGAAACAAGAAGAAACAGTGAATTGTATATACATACATACATTAAAAAGAAACATTATTATAAGAATAGAACGTTTTCCCGAGACCTGTATGGTCTCAGAATTCCCTAAAAATATGTCATATGTGCCAAGGGCACATCCCTGGCACATAGTGAACATGATTTTAGAATAAGAGATAACTATTTTCCTTCCCTATGCTTATCTTAAGTACTCACAATACCCCCTGGGCAATGATTTTCACTCTCTGAATACCACGCACAAAACCTGATCAAATGAATTTGCCTTAGGATGTACTTTGTTAAATGTGCACTTGAAAGGCAAACCTGAAAGTGTAAGCATGGCATTAATTCTCTCCAATAAATTATGCTTGAACTTTTAGAATAAAGGCTTCTCAGTACTTTAACAGAATCAACAACTACTTTGTGTTTTTGAATTACAGAATCTAGACAGCAGATGAAATTAACATTATAATAGGAGGAAAGGTATTGCAAATTTCCTGTAGCTTTGTCTAAATCTTAGTGTCTAAAATTACAGCCAAAGTCCTATCAGAAAAATCAACAAGCCCTAGGGTATCCCTCCTTGTTCTTTGTCATCATGCCCCTCTCAATACACAATGTTTCTTCAATGCACATTTTTTCCTTTTCAGTTAAGTGGCTTCTACAAAGGCCTGAATTACCTAATTCTGAGATCCTTGTAGAGATTAGAACTGAGTTGAGAATCTGCTGGTCTTTTCTCTTAGTCCACATGCCAAGTAAATTGCTAGAAAGAATTGCAAATATACCTTTGCACACAGGGGCAATCTACATATTATTATAGCTGTGTTTGTATGTCTGTCTTTTTAATGCCAATTATGATAAGGAAGGATGCAAATTAGAGTAAAAACTCAGAAAAAAATCAGTGATGTCTAGTAAAAATTCTTAATTTAAATGTTTGCTTTGCAGAAGTGCTTCTCCTTTACAGTTAAAATAGTTGTGTGGTGTGAACCTGAAAATTTTAAAGGCCTAAGGCATTAAGAAAAGTTATAGTATGTACAAATGAAATTTCTGCCTAAATTTATACAAAAGAATATCTTTAAATCATATTAAATAGGTGTGCTTGCTTTGCTCAGGCATAAATTCATTTTAATAAATGGTAATATGGTAAATGGCATTACATTACATACATTATAAACTAGAGATTTCAATCAATAACATATTCCTTATGAAAAAGAACACTTTTATTCTTGAGGACCTAGTAATTTTATCATAATGTGTGATATACTAAGTCTTATTGTACAAAAAGCTTGTCAGTCTATCTTCAAGAAGTTATCATTTTAGTTATGGGAACAGAACAGATATAAAAACAGGTGAAGGATTTGGATATGTTATAATTAGTATTAAATGTAGCAGACATCTAAGAAGAAACAAAACTTGTACCCACTATTTATGAAAATTCAGTCTCTTTAAGTTGGAAAGCCATATATTTTCCAAATTAATGACAAAGATAATCTAAACTCAATGTAAATCAACACACATATGATTTTGATTATTTATGTCGGTGAAAACACTAACATAAAAAGGTGAAACAACATCCAATTGATGTAATTATTTACTATAAATAGCCTAATGGGAATGAAGAGCCTATCCATGTAACACAAAGCCAGTCAAATTGATCCATGAAATATATCAGAAGACATTATGTTATGCTCTCCAGAAAAATCTGGCTAAATTTTCCCCAGTCCGTTGTCCCAACGGAGTGGGGAAGTAGCAAAAGACCCTTAAGTCTGATCACCTTGAGTTGAAGTACCTTTAATTTCTTAAAAATCAACAGAGGGCTTCCCTTCCCTGGTGGCGCAGCGGTTGAGAGTCCGCCTGCGATGCAGGGGACGCGGGTTCGTGCCCCGGTCCGGGAAGATCCCACATGCCGCGGGGCGGCTGGGCCCGTGAGCCATGGCCGCTGAGCCTGCGCGTCCGGAGCCTGTGCTCCGCAACGGGAGAGGCCACAACAGTGAGAGGCCCGCGTACTGCAAAAAAAGGAAAAAAAAAAAAAAAAAAAAAAAAAAAAAAAGAAATCAACAGAGAATTTATATGGAAGGTCTTCAAAGCCAAATCACATCACCTGTTTTCAATAAAGTTTTTTTTTTTTTCTCTCTCGAGCTTGCAGAGTTGTCTTGGCCCTCCTGGAAAGGACCTGGCTCAAAAAAGCAAAAAAGAGGTTTTAGGAGCGTGAATCAGGTATTAGACTACAAAGGGTATTAATAAAACCACTACCACCGGAGCAAACCCTTACAGCGTTTACTCTAGCCTTCAAGTGCTGTTTTAAATATTTTACATAAAACCGGAACAGTTTAAAAACTGGACCCTCAGGTTACGGGGCATTGTTTTGTTTTTTCCTAAACTGTAGTTTTTAGAGGTATTTGTATTGTCTTAGCAGATTTCCCAATTCTCGAGTCCTACATTTAACGACGCGGAAAAACCACTCGCAGATGGAGCTCTGGTACAAGTGACAACATCAGGAAGCGGGCAGAAACAGGAGGAGGCACAGGTGGGAGGGATCTGTGCTGGGGGCGGTGCTACCGCGCGGGGCAGTGCAGGCTGACGGAACCCGCGCGAGCGAGGTCGGTGTTGCGCAGGGGACTAGTCCGGCGCAGGACGCCGAGCTTTTGCATCCCAGCTGGTTCCGGCTGGGGAAAATGGCGGTGAGTGGGGCGTTGTCCCGGGAGCAGCTGGTGGGCTGGTGCAGCCAGCAGGTGCGGAAGACTTTCGGCCTGGATGTCAGTGAGGAGATCATACAGTAAGACCGGTTCGGGTCAGAGGCGGGAAGGAGCTCTGGGATTCGCACTGGCTGAGCAGGAGGGGCTAAAAAGTTGATGAGAGTGAAGAAATGTGATATAAAGGGCTGCGGTCTATCTATGAGTGCCGAATTTTGACCTCCGGCTTTCTAGTTTAGCTTCTGGAATAGGGTGTCATGCTCCACAATCGTCTGGTGGGGCCTTTTTTTCCCTAGGAAAACGCCAAATCCCTGATAATTAGACCTGTAAGTCTGTCCCAGGAACCAGTTTCCTTATAGATTTTGGAGAGAAGGGACAAGCCAAATTGTCTTTCCAGAAATTCCTTACTCTGAACATTTTAGTTTGCCCGATCCGTGTTGTGTCAAATTTAAATGGGGGTAGCGTGGTACTGTGTAAAAAATAGCTCCTGACTCGGGATTCCCGCTTCTATTTTCTGTGGTCATTCACCAGTTTTGGAGCCTTAGGCAACTTAATTTTCCATCTTTGTACCTTAGTTTCCTCATCTGTAAAATGAAAAATTAGCAGAGATTATCTTTAATAACGCGTTATGATTGTAATGAAGTGGAAATGGTGACATGATTTAATATCTGCTTTCAACTGATTTAACTTTTTGTTTTTGGCGATACTGCATGCCAGGACAAAAAGACGGTTGATGAGTGAGGAGGTGGGGGAAGTGCAGTGTATCGAGGAGCATAGGAAAAAGGACTCTCTTTAAGATTTGAGAAACTCGTAAGGTTAACTGCAAGGGATGAATTTAACTTGAGAACTAAAAGATGGGTAGGTGGCAGTGCAGAGTTCAGGAGGAGGGAAAAACTTCTACAAAAATTGGCCTTAAAGAACCTGGAAGTGTTTCTTGATTTGGTTCCTTGCTCATTGTTGCTGAAACCTAAATTGCAGTTCTAGGGCTTTTGTAGGAAGTAAGGTGAATTTCTGATTTTGGGAGAAAATAGACTTGTTGACAAGGAGAGAGTTAAGAGAGCCAATTTTAAAGGATTATTTTGAACACTGGAATAGACTCAAAAATAACTCAGTTAAGCAAATATTATATGATATCACTTATATGTGGAATCTAAAAAATAATACAAATGATTTTATTTACAAAACAGAAACAGACTGACAGACATAGAAACAAACTTATGGGTACCAAAGGGGAAAGGGAGGGGGATAAATTAGGAGTATGAAATTAACAGATACACACTACTGTATATAAAATAGTTAAACAACAAAGATTTGCTGTATAGCACAGGGAACTACGTTAAATATCTTGTAATAACCTACAGTGGAAAACAATCTGGAAAAAAATGTAACTGAATCACTTTGCTGTACACCTGAAACTAACACAATATTGTAAATCAACTATACATCAATTTTAAGCACTTGCTTTTTTTTTTTTTTTTTTTGGCGGTACCCTGGCCTCACTGCTGCGGCCTCTCCCGCCGTGGAGCACAGGCTCCGGATGCGCAGGCCCTGCGGCCATGGCTTACGGGCCCGGCCATCCTCCCGGACCAGGGCACAAACCCACGTCCCCTGCATCGGCAGGCGGACTCCCAACCACTGCACCACCAGGGAAGCCCTATACATCAATTTTGAAAAACTGACAAAAAATATTTTTAAAAAAGACAAAAAAAAAACCCCAGCCAAATTGTATGGCTTGGCTTTACCCTTGTTTGAAGGCAAGATCAGGTTAAGTAGTTTTCAGGCATTTTTTAAAGCAGTGGAATGCTGTCAAATGAAATAATGAAGCTTTGTAATATACCAAACAGAAAAAAGTCAATCAGTTTAAAAAAAAAAAGATTGAGTCTCTTTTTGATGAATCAACAATGGAGTATGAATAGTTGCAATCTTCTTCAGTCTCAGAATCCAGTTGTATTTTGTTGCTTACGCAGTATTAGGAAAATTCCTAAGTCTCATAGTTTGTGGTTTAATAGCTCATTGTGCAGCCTTAGATTTTCCTCAGTTAAACTTATCCACACCCTTAAAAGAGGAGTGATCAGAAATTTCTGTTTTAAAGTTGAAGCAATAAGTATGGCTGTACACCTGCTTGCATTTAAAAATATTTATAAATAGAAGTTAGACAAGAATTATTCAAAACTTAAAATAAGCCCTAAAGCTACCTATAATATAATGCTATTGGAACCACTTCCTAGGTTTTCACTAGTTATTGCACAACAGGCTATGATGGCTCAATGAAAGCGTTGGCTGTGTAAATTTGCTGTGCCTTGCCTTGCCTGATATTAATTGAGAATTACCCAGGTGTACTATACTAGTGTGCTAGCTAGAACAATTTGACATGAGCAGCCTGAATTTTTAAAAAAGACAGCACAGAGCTACTACCTTCCTAATCAGTGATACATTTATGAGACCTTAAGGTCTATGCACAGAGTTAGCAAAATAAACTTTGTTCCACAATCTGCATTAGTTCATGTTTTGGATGAATCTATTTTATTAAGATTTGGTATATAACACATTTGAATATATGTTGTTATTTATTATACTTTGTTAAATAGTTAAATGACATTTATTCAATTGTTTCTGAAACTCTTTAAATAATTCCCTAGTGGTTTGAATACTCCAGAGTTAAATGATCCTTGAGGTTCCTTGCAGCTCTGTGAGTTCTTGATGCCAATTAATCTTTTTTTTTTAATGTTTTAAAATTTTATTTATTTATTTATTTTTGGCTGTGTTGGGTCTTCGTTTCTGTACGTGGGCTTTCTCTAGTTGCGACGAGTGGGGGCCACTCTTCATCGCGGTGCACGGGCCTCTCACTGTCGTGGCCTCCCTTGTTGTGGAGCCCAAGCTCCAGATGTGCAGGCTCAGTAGTTGTGGCTCACGGGCCTAGTTGCTCCGCAGCATGTGGGATCTTACCAGACCAGGGCTCGAACCCGTGTCCCCTGCATTGGCAGGCAGATTCTTAACCACTGCACTACCAGAGAAGCCCGCCAATTAATCTTTTGATGGGGCCTGGTAAGTTTGGGGATCAAGTTGATTAAACCTTGAAAGTCCTGAAAAACAATTGTGTATTTTTAAAAAAATTTTGTGATGGATTAGAAGATGCTCTTAAAGAGGCACAAAGGCACAGGTTTGTTCACTTATAGATTGTAACTCTGCAAATCGACCACCACATTAGGAAAAGAACCCAGTACATGTACTACCAAGGATGGAACAATTACATGATTTTTTTTTAAATTTAAAGGATATAGCATTATTGTAATAATTTTTCTTACTGTTCATACCAGTGTATCTACTTTACAGTTTCTTCAGATCATATAATGCTTTCATGGTCTGATATCTTAATTTTTTCACTTCTTACTTCTCTAATGACGTGACATAGTCCCTGTAGAAAACTAAAAAAATCAGAAAAGCGTAAAGGAGGAAACCAAGATTACCATAATACCACAACCCAGAGATAACCATCATTTCTCTCTTAGTGTTTTTTCCTATGCATATTATAATACATTTTCAAAATATATTCATTGTAGGGAAGAAAAGAAAATAAAAATAAACCCAAACTCTTTTTAATCATCTCTCTCTTAGTGGTAATCACTTTGTTGTATAACCTTCTAGCCTTTTTTCTACACATAAGTGTATGGATATATACATTCCTTTTATAGCAATTGGGATCATATGCTGTACAGTGTATCCTACTATTTCACTTTATATGAGAGTGTTTTCTCAAGTAATAATAATTACTGAGAAATTACTGAATTAATGAATTCCCTGGCAGTCCATTGGTTAGGACTCTGTGCTTTCGCTGCCAAGGGTGCGGGTTCAATCCCTGATTGGGGAACTAAGATCCCACAGCTGCATGGTATGGCCAAAAATAATAATAATAATAAAGTAAAATAAACAAGTCAGTGATTTTTAAAAAATAATAATTATTCAAAACTTTTACTTTTTGTGGTCGCATATTATATTTTGTAAAGTCCAAAAACTTGAATTCATTTGACCCTTTCATTGATGAATGTTTAAAATAGTTTCCAGTTTTTCACTAACTCAAATAATGATGTAGTTAATTTTTTTGCATAAACTTTCCTGTGTCTCTTATTTCTTATAGAGTTCTGTAAATGGAATTATTGGATTCTTTTTAAGGCACTTTAAATATATTGGCTGATTGATTTATAGAAAAGTTGTACTGACTTGTACTCCCACCCCATTTCACTTTTAGGAACGCTTCATACCATTTTCTGAAAATAGATCTGCTCATTCTGATGTGATGCTAATCTTGATTTATAATTTTTAAGAATGTTAAATCAGTAACTGGTTAGCTTGTAGTATATATTCATATTTTTAGCAAAAAAGAAATTTTAGGTTTTGCAGTATAAAGATGAAGTAATTTGTATTGTTCCTAGGAAAATATAATGACTGCAGATGTGTGGTTATGGAAAGTATTCTTTTTTTTTTTATAACAGTTATTTTTAACAGTTTTTTTGAGATGTAATTTTTATTCAAGTCACTTGTTTTAAATGTAAAATTTGATGAGTTTTGACAAGTATATATAGCCTTGTAACCATCCCTCAATCAAGACATAAGTAGTCCTTGCTTTGCACAGTAGTATGGAACCGTAAAAATGGCCATGCAATCTGCAATTAAAAAATCTTAATAAAATGGTCTTAATAAAAAAATGGGGAAATTTTTGATTATTCCATGACCTTCAAAAATGTGTGTCAAAATATTAAAAACTCTCCTGCTGTCAGAATAAATTTAAAAAATAGTAAAACAAACACTTATTTAGTACACTGTAAATTTTTAAAAAATTTTTATTTTATATTGGAGTGTAGTTGATTAACAATGTTGTGTTAGTTTCAGGTGTACAGCAAAGTTATTCAGTTGTACATGTACATGTATCTATTCTTTTTTTTTTTTTTTTTTTTGCGGTATGCAGGCCTGTCACTGTTGTGGCCTCTGCCGTTGTGGAGCACAGGCTCTGGATGTGCAGGCTCAGCAGCCGTGGCTCACGGGCCCAGCCGCTCCGCGGCATGTGGGATCTTCCCGGACCGGGGCACGAACCCATGTCCCCTTCATCGACAGGCGGACCCTCAACCACTGCACCACCAGGAAAGCCTTATCTGTTCTTTTTCATTTTTTTCCCATTTGGGTTAGAAAGTATTCCTATGTTAAGGACAGCTCCACAAACCTATCTTCAAAACACTGATTTGATTCTAGAAATACAAGATTACATGAAGGTTATATTATGAACTACTTGAGGTCAGAGTCTTTGTTCTAATCAAATTTATATCCCTAGCATCTAACCTAGAACTTGGCTCAAAATAAACAGTGTAATGGATTAATGAATGTTTTTTACTACCTTGATCTCTTGTTACGATTACTGAAAAACATAGTATAAGCTAGCCCTGTTTTAACAACTTATTTCTTTGCTTCTTGAGGTATGTTTTGTCAATTGAGAGTGCTGAAGAGTTACGAGAATATGTTACTGACCTTCTTCAGGGAAATGAGGGCAGAAAAGGTCAATTCATAGAAGAGCTTGTAACTAAATGGCAAAAGAATGATCAGGAGCTGATTTCTGATGCTCTGCAGCAGTCCTTCAAAAAAGATGGTAAGTTAAGTTAATGTAATTAACTTAAGTAAATTAAAGTAAAGGTTGAAATATTGGTAAATTAGCTGGTTTATAGGACCTGGTATGTTCTGTCACCCATATTTCCTCACGACTAACTTAAGCAGAATCGTATGTATACATGTTTTTAGTTCAGTTCTACTTGATCTGTAATGAGTATTGTTTTAGTTCAGACTTCTTCAACTTAGAAAATATCACAAAAATACTTGTTTATAGATACAAATGTGGCTTCAGAATAACTTGAAAAATTTATACATAGATTAAAGAAAAACTTTAGTTATGTGTATACATGAATGTAAGTAAATGTTGACCAGTTTTAGTATGAATAGCGTTTAGAAGTAACTATTAAGTTAAAGTTAAACAGTACAAAAGATGAGCACCAAACTAAATAAGTCATTATTATTATACAGTCTAAAATATCAGATTTTAATTTAACTTTTTTTTTTTTTTTGGGTGTGCCGCACGGCTTGCGGGATCTTGATTCCCGCACCAGGAATTGAATCCAGGCCCTTGGCGGTGAAAACGCGGAGTCCTAACCACTGGACTGCCAGGGAATTCCCTTTAATTTAACGTCTTAATTTTAGCCAGTAGTCTTTATTATTGACTACAATCTTGAAAATGATGGTTTAAATTTAATTCTGATTTGAGAGGAAAAGATAATTTAAAAACCTGCCTGACTTCTTATATTGACTCTAAATATTAAGCATTGCCTTCTCTTTATTAGCTATTAATTCACCAATGAATCCTACTATTTCCAATCTATTTATGTACATATTTATTTATTTATTTATTTATTGTCTTCTTTTTCTTCTTTAAAGAAATTTTAGATGGGCAGAGGTCAGGAGACCAGCTAAAGAGGAGTAGGCGGAAAGGGAGAAACAGACAGGAAGTTCCTGCATTTACTGAACCTGATACAACCATAGAGGTCAAAACACCTTTTGATTTGGCCAAGGTGAGTGCTTAGAAAATGAGGCTTTTCTGGCTATATGGAGAAGAGCAAACAACTGATACATTTCAGAGAGCACAGGGTATAAATTGGTCTAGAATGGCAACTTTTCAACAAATGCATGAATTTTAGAGAGTGATAATGATAACATATTACTTTCTATATGGTAGATATTTTTTGACAAACTGATTAAATAAGTATTAAAAGGACATCTTCAGGCTTCCCTGGTGGCACAGTGGTTAAGAATACACCTGCTGGGGCTTCCCTGGTGGCGCACTGGTTGAGAATCTGCCTGCTAATGCAGGGGACACGGGTTCGAGCCCTGGTCTGGGAGGATCCCACATGCCGCGGAGCAACTAGGCCCGTGAGCCACAACTACTGAGCCTGCGCGTCTGGAGCCTGTGCTCCGCAACAAGAGAGGCCCGCGCACTGTGATGAAGGGTGGCCCCTGCTTGCCACAATTAGAGAAAGCCCTCGCACAGAAACGGAGACCCAACACAGCAAAAATAAATTAATTAATTAATAAACTCCTACCCCCTACATCTTCTAAAAACAAAAAAAAGAATCCACCTGCTAATGCAGGGAACACAGGTTAGAGCCCTGGTCCAGGAAGATCCCACATGCCACAGAGCGACTAAGCCTGTGCGCCAGAACTACTGAGCCTGCACTCTAGAGCCCGCGAGCCACGACTACTGAGCCCGCGTGCCACAACTACTGAAGCCCACGTGCCTAAAGCCTGTGTTCCACAACAAGAGAAGCCACCGCAATGAGAAGCCCTTGCACCACAACGAAGAGTAGCCCCCACTCACTGCAACTAGAGAAAGCCTGCATGCAGCAACAAAGACCCACTGCAGCCAAAAATAAATAAATAAAATAAATAAATTTATTTTTAAGAAAAAGGACTTCTTTGCTTAGAGATTATAGATAGATAGATAGACGTGATAGAAAATATTTAATGAAATACACCAGGACTTCAATTTCAACATTTTTTGTGGCTTTGTACTAAAAGAATGCACAATTCTAGCTGTTTTAAGAGCGTTCCTATTTTAGGCCATTCACTACCCATCATCATCATCATTATTTAGCATTTAGAGCTCTTTCATATTCTCTCTTGGCTCTAAAAATAGCCCTGTGAGGTAAGCAGAAATATTTTTATTCAGGGCAATTTGACAAGCTGAATTTCCCAGCAGAAGGGAATAGTTAATTATGCTAAGATGGAAGTGTAGTGATCAAAAAATTCTGAGTGATGACCATGCAAAAAAACATGGAAAAGGGTTTCCAAAATAATGTGAACTTAAAAAATATAGTCTTAAGCCTTTTATTAATTGGAATAAAATGAGCAAAGACTATCACAAGCAAAAGAAAAATCACAAATGACCAATAAACATTAAAAATGTTTATCCTTACTAGTAATTAAGGAGTCCAGTTTGTCACCCTAATTGCCTGAACTCTCCTGGTTTTAGCACTGAAAAGTCCTGTATTCTGAGATTTCCCCTAAGTCCTGGGCAAACAAGGTTGGTTGGTTACTTTACTAGTAATCAAATAAATACACATTAAATCCCTGAGATATGGCATATCAAATTGTCAAAGATTTTATTTAAAAAAATTTTTTTGGCCATGCCATGCAGCCTGCGGGGTTTTAGTTCCTGGACCAGGGATTGAACCTGCGCCCCCTGCAGTGGCAGCTTGGAGTCTTAACCACTGGACTGCCAGGGAAGTCCCTCAAAGATTTTAAAAACAGATACAGTGATGATGAAGTTGTATTAAAACAGGAACCTCCTATACACTACTGGTGGCAATGTAAATTGGTTTAAGCTTTCTGGGGGCAGTTTGGCAGCATGTATCAAGAACTGTGGCAATGTTCATATACTTCTGACTTATTAATATGACTTAAATATCTAACAAAATAATCAGAAATGCACACAAAAAATGTATGTTCTGTGTAATGTTATTTATAATATTGAAAATATGAACTGACCTGATTTTTTAGCAGTAAGAGGCAGATTAAATAAATTATTATTCCCTCATTTGGTGGGATATCATGCAGCTCATTTCTTTTTTTTTTAAATAAATTTATTTAATTAATTTATCTTTGGCTGCGTTGGGTCTTCGTTGCTGTGCGTGGGCTTTCTCTAGTTGCGGGGAGCAGGGGCTACTCTTCACTGCGGTGCACGAACTTCTCATTGCAGTGGCTTCCCTTGCTGTGGAGCACAGGCTCTAGGTGTGCGGGCTTCAGTAGTTGTGGCACACAGGCTCAGTAGTTGTGGCTTGTGGACTCTAGAGCACGGGCTCAGCAGTTGTGGCACACAGGCTTAGTTGCTCCGCAGCATGTGGGATCTTCCCAGACCAGGGCTTGAACCCGTGTCCCCTGCAATGGCAGGTGGATTCTTAACCACTGTGCCACTAGGGAAGCCCGCTCATTTCTTTTTAAAGCCGTGGTGTATACAGAACATTGTTTCTAGGGGAAATACAGGGTTAGGTTTCTGGGAGCCTCTGATCACATTTCCATCAACCAATCAAAACATAACCTCATTTTATGTGTGTTTCTGTTTAAAGACCCTTTATTTAATGTATATTGTTGATCATCAACATTGAAGTCAAAGCCAATAGCACTGTAACTCATGCCTGAAGAAAGCTTATCTAATACACCTTTCTTTTTTATTATTATTATTTATTAATTTTTATTATTTATTATTATTTTTATTGAATTATAGTTGATGTACAATATTATATGTTGTAAGTGTACAACATAGTGATTCACAATTTTTATTTTATTTTTATTTTTTAATTTTTATTTATTTTTGGGGGGCTTGCAGGATCTTAATTCCCCCACCAGGGATTGAACTCATACCCCCTGCAGTGGAAGTATGGAGTCCTGACCATTGGACTGCCAGGGAATTCCTGGTGATTCACAATTTTTATTTTTTAATTTATTTTATTTTTTAATTTTTTAATTTTTTTGCGGTACACGGGCCTCTCACTGTTGTGGCCTCTCCTGCTGCGGAGCACAGGCTCCGGACGCGCAGGCTCAGCGGCCATGGCTCACGGGCCCAGCCGCTCCACGGCATGTGGGATCCTCCCAGACCGGGGCACGAACCCGTGTCCCCTGCATCGGCAGGCGGACTCTCAACCACTCCGCCACCAGGGAAGCCCCACAATTTTTAAAGTTTACATTCCACATATAGTTATTGTAAAATATTGACTCTATTCCCTGTGTTGCACAATGTATCCTTGTAACTTATTTATTTTATACATAATAGTTTGTACCTCTTAATCCCCTACCCCTATCTTTTATTCTCTATATATCTGTGAGTCTGTTTCTATTTTGTTATATCCAATGGTTCATTTTTTAGATTTCACATATAAGTGATATCATACAGTATTTGTTTTTCTCTGTCTGACTTATTTCACTTAGCATAATACCCTTCAAGTCCATCCATGTTGTTGCAAATAGCAATTTTTCATTCTTTTTATGACTGAATAGTATTCCATTGTGTATATATACCACATCTTTATCCATTTATCTGTTGATGGACACTTAGGTTGCTTCCATATCTTGGCAATTGTAAATAATGTTGATATGAACATTGAGTATATGTATCTTTTCAAGTTAGTGTTTTCATTTTTTTTTTGGATATATACCCAGGAGTGGAATTGCTGGGTCATATGGTAGTTCTACTTTTAGTTTTTTGAGAAACCTCCATACTGTTTTCTTTTTTAATTAATTAATTTTATTTTATTTATTTTTGGCTGTGTTGAGTCTTTGTTGCTGTGTGCAGGCCTTCTCTAGTTGTGGTGAGCTGGGGCTACTCTTCGTTGCAGTGCACAGGCTTCTCATTGTGGTGGCTTGTCATTGCAGAGCACGGGCTCTAGGCACGCGGGCTTTAGTAGTGGTGGCTTGCAGGCTCATTAGTTGTGGCTCACAGGCTCTAGAGCACAGGCTCAGTAGTTGCAGTGCACGGGCTTAGTTGCTCCACGGCATGTGGGATCTTCCTGGACCAGGGCTCAAACCCATGCCCCCTGCATTGGCAGGTGGATTCTTAACCACTGCGCCACCAGGGAAGCCTCTCCATACTGTTTTCCACAGTGATGATACCAAGTTAACACTCCCACCAGCAGTGTATGAGGGTTCCCTTTTTTCCACATTTTCACCAACATTTGTAATTTGTGGTCTTTTTCATGATAGCCATTCTGAGAGGTGTGAGGTGATATCTCATTGTGGTTTTAATTTACATTTCTCTGATAATTAACAATGTTGGGCATCCTTTCATGTAATATACCTATTTTCCATATAAGGTACAGCCTCTTGTGCTTAGGAACATTAGACAGCACTTCCTATTATGCATGGGGGCCATATTAAATGGTGAGATTACCAACAAAAAGCACAGAAATGCAAAGAAATGGCACTAAATAGACTTAGGATACTTGTTTACAGTATGAGAGCTGAAGCAAGAAGGCAGATCACTGCATTGCTCAAACTTAGCTGGAAATGTGTGCATTTGGTGACTCAAATGTTTTGCCATTCTGTGCGTGTCCATGAATGCCTGTGAAAGCACCTGGAGTATTGATTTGGGGTTTACAAATAAATATTAGCAAGTAGGTGAATTTGAAGATCTGGAACCATGAAAAATGATGGTCAAACTGTATGTCCAGTTCCATTTTTGGACATGTAGGTAAATCTTAAATCTGTCTTCAATTTTCTCAGGCAATTCATTTGGTTATTAAGAGGTTTTTATTGTGTGTCTGTTGTGTGTCCGGAACTGATTTAGGCATTTGAGATATAGCAATAAACAAGACTCATTAAGGTTTCTTGCCCTCCTAGAGTTTACATTTTAGTGGTTCAGAGGAGAGGTAGAAAAGATAGTCAAAATTTTTTAAAGTAATTATATATTGTGAAAACTAGCATGAAAGAAATTAAAAGGGCAGTGTGATAGGCAGTTATTGGAAGGGTGGGAGCTAATGTAGGTAGGGTATTCAGGGAAAGCCTTTCTGAGGGAGTGAAATTACAGCTAAGACCTGAACACTGCAAAGGAACCAGTATGTAAAGAGATGGGCTGGGAACAATGCAGAAAGAGGGAATAACAAGTGCAAAGGGAAGATGGAGAAAAGTGTTCTCAGAAGTATCAAAAGCCCGGTGTGGCTGGAGCATAGTGGACAGGGGAAGAATGATGTGTAGGTGAGGCTAGAGAGCACCTGAGGGCCATATGTAAGGCTTTATAGGTCATTATAAGTAGCTTGGATTAAATTTTAAGCACAATGGGAAGCCAGTGAGTGGTTTTGTTTTTCGTATTTTGTTTTTTAATTATTTAACCCCTCCTCCCCACCCCTCTGAATGGTTTTAGGCAGAGGAGTGATATGTTATGAATTTTCTGGCTTGCCCTGTTCTCCCCTTCTCTCCTCTATTACTCTGTCTTTCCTCCTTCTCAATAAATACTTGCTGCCTGTTATGGATAAAAGACCTAATCAAAGCACAGCCCTCAATCCCTCAAATGTGTTATTTTAATGTAACTGGATACTTTAAAGGGAGTGAGATAGAAGTTTCTGCTTAGAGATTTTAGTCTTCCCCTCACAAACATCCCTGAGAGCAAAGGTATAATTGACCAGTTTGAAAAATGGCAACCTGCTAGAATTACCTAACATCCTTAGCACTTGTCTTAGATTTTAACATTTACCTCCGTTGACTTATTTGATGCTGTCTGTATATCTCAAGTTTTGGCTTTGGACATTAGGGTGTGTTACCTCTCTTTATAGTAACCAAAGAATTGTTACCTTCATTGTTATAACTCTCCTATCCACTAGGACTCCTGAGATTTTTCTTTGAAACTTCAGTCTCTGGAAATGATTGAGAAACTCTCAATTTAAAGGGAAAGTAGGACTACACCAGAGGAGAGGCATCTATGCACCTTAAGTGTCAAAAGCTGCTGTGGTCTGAATGTTTGTGTACCACTCAGAATTCATGCCTTAAAATGCTAATGCCCAGTGTGAATTAGGAAGTGGGGCCTTTGGGAGGTTCTTATGTCATGGGGGTGGAGTCCTCATGAATGGGGTTAGTGCTCTTATAAAAGAGACCTCACAGTCCCTAACCCCTTTTGCCACGTACAACAAAGAAGTAATTTCTGTGACCTGGAAGAGGGCCCTTGCCCAACCATGCTTGCACCCTGAACCTGTACTTCAGCCTCCAGAGCTATAAGAAATAAGTTTCTGTTGTTTATAAGCTACCTAGTCTGTGATATTTTGTTACTGCAGCCAGAATGGACTAAGGCAGAGGCTGATATAGTTCTCTTTTTAAAGTTTTTATTTTATAACATACATACAGAAGTGAATAAATGAATTTTCACAAACTGACCATACCTGTATAGCCAAAAATAAAACATTACCATTCCTCTAAAAAACTCCCATGTGCCCCACAATGATAACCCTCCCAAGGGAAAACACCATTTTGACTTTGAACATCATAGATTAATTTTGCCTGCTTATGAACTTTGTATAAATGGAGTTAAATAGTATATACTCTTTTGTGTCACATGGTTTATCTCATTGCTATATAGGATTCTGTTAAGTGAATATTCAATCTACTGTTGAACATTTGGGTAGTTTTCCAATTCTAATGCTGCAGTGAATGTTCTTATATATGTCTTTTGTTGAACATATTTACTCATTTCTGTTGAGTATATGTCCAAGAGGTGAATTGCTGGGTCACAGGATATACATATGCTCAGCTTCAGTAGATACCAGTTTACACTCCCACGAACGGTGTGTGAGAGTTCTAATTGTTCTATATCCTTGCCAACACTCTGTATTTTCTGTCTTTTCAATTTAGGTATTCTGGTTGGTGTGCAATGGTATTACACTGTGGTTTTATTTTGTATTATCTTGATGACTGATGAAGTCGAGCACCTTTTCATGTATCTGTTGGCTGTTCGGATATCTTCTTTTATGAAGCTCCTGTTTAGGTCCTTTGCCCATTTTTCCACTGTGTTATCTGTCTTTTTCTTATTGAGTCAATTTTTTATAGATTTTTCTTACTTTACTGATAGTTCTTATTTCCAGATCTGTGAATATCATCTGCTTTTAGAGGCATTTTTGTTTTCTATGATCTCCAATTTAGCTATACATAAATATGTCACATAAACAGCTTTTATTGCTACATTTACCTTCCACCAGGGCTGACAGCTACTAGCAGAAAAAGCAGAGTATATTAGCTAGTTTTTCTAGGGCATAATCTTTACTTAGACCCTTGATTATAACTCATTTGTATTTCTCCTACTTCCTTCTTTCATGGTTGCTGGGTAGGGTGTAAGTTATTATTGAACAGAACTGAGGTTTTTCTCTCTTGACTCTTTTCATTGTCATTAATTATTTGATGTTATTTCTGATATCTTTGTACGATCAGGCACAAGAGAACAGCAGCTCCTTAAAGAAGAAGACGAAGTTTGTCAGTTTATATACAAAAGAGGGACAGGACAAGCTTGCAGTCCTGATCCCTGGTCGCCACACTTGTGATTGCCTGGGCCAGAAGCACAAGCTGATCAATAACTGTCTGATCTGTGGGCGTATTGTCTGTGAACAAGAGGGTTCTGGCCCCTGCTTATTCTGTGGTACTCTGGTAAATTGTTTCTTTCCTATTTTACTACTCTTCAGTTTTATACATAGGGACATTCACACCCCTAGTAATTTCTCTTTTTCTTAGTAAATTTCTTCCCTAAGGTGTCCAGTAAATTCTATTTTTTATTATTGTTTTTATTGAAGTATAGTTGATTTACATTGTTGTGCCACCAGTAAAACTTAGTCAGAAACCCAATTTGAGGGCTTCCCTGGTGGCGCAGTGGTTGAGAGTCCGCCTGCTGATGAAGGGGACACGGGTTCGTGCCCCAGTCTGGGAAGATCCCACATGCCGCGGAGCGGCTGGGCCCGTGAGCCATGGCCACTGAGCCTGCTCATCCGGAGCCTGTGCTCTGCAATGGGAGAGGCCACAGCAGTGAGAGGCCCGTGTACCAAAAAAAAAAAAAAGCCCAAGTAGATATCCTAGAACTGAGGCCTATTTGTGAGAAGGTTTTGAGAACATACCTTGTTGAGGGATCCAAGTCTTGTGTCAGATTAAGTTCAATTCAAGAAAACTTGAGGGCCTGAAATGTCAAAAATTTTTGTCAGTCTTCAGATGTGGCTCATATTCCTAGGGTTACAGAGCCACTGTGATGTAATCCTCAAGTCTATAGCTTCTTTTTCCAGAACACCTCCTTTTTTTTTTTTTTTTTTTTTGCCGTACGCGGGCCTCTCACTGCTGTGGCCTCACCCTTTGCGGAGCTCCGGACGCACAGGCTCAGCAGCCATGGCTCACGGGCCCATCCGCTAGGCGGCATGTGGGATCTTCCCGGACCGGGGCACGAGCCCGTGTCCCCTGCATCGGCAGGCGGACTCTCAACCACTGCACCACCAGGGAAGCCCAACACCTCCTTTTTATAGCTCCTCATTATCAGAGTAAGTGACCTCAAAAGTGTAGTTGTAATGACTCTGTTACAAACACCCTAGTGAGTTGTCTGGAAGGCTTATTCTGCCAGTTGAGCTGACTGGCAGAAGCAATGGCATTTGGTATTGGTGAAGGTATACATTTTGTGTTGCTTTGTTTTCCCTTCTCTGGTGGGGCCTTTAATTTTTTAATATACTCAGATAATAAGCTGATAGACAATGGATGACCTGAAAAATGTAGTATCTAACATCAAAAATGTTCATAAAACAGCAGCAAATGTCCTCCCATATGGGGCTTTTCTCTAGAGAAACACCCTACTGCTGCTGTGTGCCACTCAGGCAACTGCTAGCAAGTACAGTGTTTTCTGTTAGGTCCCTTGGATCCTTCGGTGAATTCAAGAAACAGAGTAATGTAAAGCAGATTGGCCTTGAGGTCTTGCAGTTTCATAAACTTAGTATGAAATTGTTTTTAAGTACCCCCTTCTGCTTTTAAGTAACCTCCCTTCTTACACTTCTAGTGATTTTATAATAAACAGAACTTTTTCTTTGCTTGATGTGTTTATTACTTTATAAGCAGGTAATGTTTGAAGGCAAAGAAGCAAAATACATATAAAAGCTAGACTAGTTTTCACTGCTTCTTTTTCTGGCTCTTTTTAATAAGACACTTGTGGGACTTCCCTGGCTGTCCAGTGGCTAAGACTCCCTGCTTCCATTGCAGGAGGCATGGGTTCAATCCCTGGTCAGGGAGCTAAGATTCTGCATGCTACATGGCACAGCCAAAAATAAATACATAAATAAATAAGACACTTGCTTAGCAATTCTCTTGTAAGACTTGGATTTCATGATTAGAACTGGAAGGCTATAAAAAAAAAGTCTTGTATATTTTTTCAATATTCTCATTGGTGGCAAATCTTTATCTTTTGAAAGTAGGTTAGATTTTCTTTTTAACTGTCATTCAGGGACACTTGTAGTGGTATCAGTTTTTTGTATGGTTCATAAAAGAAGGGAGAAATGGAAAGAGACTAGGGCAAAACTCATTTGGGTATACTTTTTTTTTGGTATATTTGTCTGAATTAAAAAACACTGACAGTCTATTTTATTGCCATATCTAATGTGTAATTTGAGGTTACTTTTTAAGTTTGATTATCAAGCAAACACTATCATTTAACTATTGGATCATGTGTCTTACTCTTATTACTTTATAGGTATGTACTCGTGAAGAACAGGATATTTTACAGCGTGACTCAAACAAGAGCCAGAAACTGCTGAAGAAGCTCATGTCAGGTAGGCAGCAGTCTTCTAATTGGGTCACTGTAGTTATGGATACATTTTGTTGTGACTGTGATTGTTTCTCTTACTTGTATCCTGGTATGTAAGATGCGATTTATTTACTCGTTTATTTTTTTTAAAGTTCTTATTAAAACCCCCTAACACTGAGCAAAAAAACTAATAATAATACTATTGGATTATAACCCAAAGAATAAAATTAATGTCATGAAGTAACTGAATAAATTAATAAATGGGAGAGAAGGAACTGTTCTTGTAGAATTCCAATTAATAAAGTGAAGGAATTATGGTAACAGAAAATTACCATGTCAACACCACAGTAGTATTGATAGTAATTGCTACAGGCAAGATCCACCAGTAGATGCTAAAATTATTGGATGAAAGTTTAAGAATTGGAGATGTGCTAGATCATGAAAGACAAGGAAAGACTGAAGAATCGTAACGGTTTAGAGGAGACTAAGGAGACACTACAACTAATTGCATTTTAGGATCTTGAATTGGATCCCTAAACAGAAAAATAATATTAGTGGAAAAAAAGTTGAAATCCAAATAAAGTCTGTAATATAGTTAATGGTATTGTACTATTGTTAATTTCTTACTTTTGATAATTGTACTATGGTTATGTGAGATAAGATACTAACAAGGGAAGATGAATGAAAGGTATGCAGGAACTCTACTTTTTTTGCAACTCTTCAAAGTTTTTTATAGTTGAAAAAAGCATGACAAAAATAGTTAAGGACATTTTTAAAGGGAAAACAATATACTCATTACTTTCCATTTGTGCAAATATTTTGTTCCTGCTTTAATTCATAGTTGTTTTTTAAATATAGATTGGTTGGTATTATGAAGTAGTAATCATAGTGTATATAGAATTTTACGTTTTTCCTTTTTTAACTAATGTTTTATAATTATTGTTTATGTTGCCATATATTCTTCATATTTGTAATTTTTAGTGCTTAAAAATAGTCATTAAATTTATTTATTATAATTGATTATCTATTTCCTCATTACTGGATATTTTGACTCTTTCCGAATTATAAATAATACCACAAGTGGTCAACTTTTTTAATATTATATCTTTGATTTATTTCCTTGGGCTAAATTCCTAGGAATGGGATTACTGAGTCAAAGAATATTATCATTTTTGACACTTAAGATGTATTTGCCATATTACTTTACCAAAATATTGTACTAGTCTACAACAATATTAGTATTTTACCCCAAAACCTGTCACTATTGGGTTTTGACATTTCATGTTATTTTATTTTTATAGTCATAATTTATTATTATTATTATTAATGAGGTAGAACATGTCTCCATATTTTTTCCATTTGGATTTTTCTAGGGTCATTATTATGAGAAAAGGTAGTTCTCAGTGCTTTTCTTATATTCAGAACACAAGAACCAATCTCTCTTTTTTTTAATTTTAAAAGAAAGATTTGACAGGACTTTTTTTTTTTTTAGGACTTTAAGTAGCCTAGAGTTTTAGGTGTAGAGAAAGGTCAGCCTTCATTATAGCTTAGTTGTTTTCCTAACACACTTTAGATCTTAGTTCGATCATAATTTATGGCTGTCTTTTCTGGGATATATAGATTTATGGTATGTTGTCACAAAGGAAGATAACACATGGGCCGAGGAATGAATGTGGACTTTAGAGTTAGACAGACCTAACTTTATTTTATTTTATTTTAAATTTATTTATTTATTTTTGGCTGCGTTGGGTGTTTGTTGCCGCATGTGGGCTTTCTCTAGTTGCGACGAGTGGGGGCTACTCTTCGTTGCAGTGCGTGGACTTCTCATTGTGGTGGCTTCTCTTGTTGCGGAGCGTGGGCTCCAGGCGTGTGGGCTTCAGTAGTTGTGGCACGTGGGCTCAGTAGTTGTGGCTCACGGGCTCTAGAGTGCAGGCTCAGTAGTTGTGGCGCACGGACTTAGTTGCTCCGCAGCATGTGGGATCTTCCCAGATCAGGGCTCGAACCCGTGTCCCCTGCATTGGCAGGCGGATTCTTAACCACTGCACCACCAGGGAAGTCCAGACAGACCTAACTTTAAATTTTGTTTCTACCTTTTAATTTCTGACTTACTGAACTCAGTAAATTTACTAATGTCTCTGAATTTCAGTTTCTTTATCTGTAAAATAAAGATAATATAAACTGTCTTACAGGGTTATAGTGAGAATTAACTACTATAGTACGTATGAAGTGCCTTAGCATCTGATAAGTTCTCATTATTCATTTCTGTCCCTCTCTGTAATTTCTTCTCTTTTTTCCTTTTATTATTTAGTTCTTAGCTTTGATATATAAAAGTATGTTCAAAGGTGATATTTAGCCCTACTCAATAAAGTTTTTCTTTTAAGGCATTTTTATATTGTGTTGTTAAACAGTTTGTTACCCTTAGTGATCCACATTTCCATAAGGGAAGAAGTGGATCCTTAACATTTATTGAGAATGTATTATGTGTCAAGCGCTGCTTGATGCCAGACAAGTAAAGCCTGGCCTGTGTACCTGTTTGTTTTCCATTGAAATGAAGGCTGTCAGTCATTAGGGGCACAGCCAGATCTACTGATATTTTGTTCTTTGCTGCACAGCGATACAACTAATTGGTATGATTCACTAACACCATTTGATTTCCTTATTGAATTTCAGGGACAGAGAATTCTGGAAAAGTGGACATCTCTACCAAGGACCTTCTTCCTCATCAAGAATTGCGATTTAAATCTGGTCTGGAGAAGGCTATCAAGCATAAAGACAAACTGTTAGAGTTTGACAGAACTAGGTATGATGTGGTTAGAATAAAAAATGCTAAGAAATAGAGTAGTCCATTATTTTGGCACTTGATACCTTCTTAGGGTGGACTGTGAAAGTGTTTACAACAAAAGAAGAGCCAGATGCTCTGTGGCGGAGGTCTACAGCTTGTTTTTGAATCATGTCTGAATAAGATAGGCTCCCACCGAGAGGATCCTACCCTGTAATATTTTTTGATTCTTGGCAAATGCTAGTGTACCCCATGGAAAGTTGATTTGGGTTGACACAGTTCCTCACTTGTTTCACTTGAAACCATCCGTTTATTCAGTCAGCATATGTTAGAGTGCCTACCATGTGCAAACTGTTGGGGGGCCTCTGGATACTCCATAATAAACTGTCTCTGGGAGAGTGTTAACACCACCTCATGGGAAGACATGATTTATCCTCCCTTTTTCGTTTGACACTAAATTTGTTTTCTGATTCAATAATGTCCCTAAATTGAGTTTTACACTCCTACACTTTTGTCATTGAGCCCACTCACCTCTCTTTAGGAGGCAGATTTATGGATTTGTTAGTTCTATTTTTATTTTTTTCTCTTTCATTTTTTTCTTCTTCTGGACAAAATATGTATTGAAGACCAATTAGTGGTAAAGAATGTTTAAATAGGACTTACATGCTCACTTCTCAAGTGGCCATGTGAGAATCCTTAGAAAGACCCTGCATCTCTTACTGTGGTAACTAAATATGTCTATTCCTAGCATTATAATCCTTTGGTTAGACACACCTGCTACTTTCAAATCATTTGCTGTGAATACATGAGATACACTTTGAAAGCTCTTCGTTAATAAGCCCATCACAAGGTTTGTAACTAATATTTGCTCTTCATCCTTAAATATCACTTTTATCCTTACTCAGTGAAACTTATCATTAGAAATAGAGTACATTTTTTTTTTTTTTTTTTCTTGCGTTATGCGGGCCTCTCACCGTTGTGGCCTCTCCCATTTGCGGAGCACAGGCTCCGGACGCGCAGGCTCAGTGGCCATGGCTCACGGGCCCAGCCGCTCCGCGGCATGTGGGATCTTCCCGAAACGGGGCACGAACCCGCGTCTCCTGCATCGGCAGGCGGACTCTCAAGCACTGCGCCACCAGGGAAGCCCTAGAGTACATTTTTTGATAAACAGAAACTGGAAAATGGTCTCTCCCTATTGGCATTGTTGCCCTTATGCTGGTGAGTTTCTAAGGACGCCAATTTCATCATGTAGGTTTGTGTATAGTACCACTCTTAGTCTACTTTAAAACTTTTATAATTCCAGCTGAGTCCTGAAAGAATGAAATCTGAAGCTGATTTCAGTATTTCCCTATGCCTGAATATATCATACTAATTATTAATTATGCAGTTGAGACTGATTTATGATTTTGGAGTAGTCACTTAACTTCTTTGAGGCCCAGGTTTATTATCTGTAGAAGGAGAGGGTTGGATCATCAAGATTCCTTCTAGTTGTTAATTTCTTTGTTGGTATGATCTTAGAAATGGGCCTGGTTGTCATATCTTGGAACCTGGCCCTTGTAAATATGTTAAATGAGGGACTGGGGATAGAGTTGGGGTGGGGATGGGGGAGGTGGTGAAAACTGACATATAGTAGTAGAGTATTAAAGATATCCTAAGAATAAGCTTATAGGACTGAGAATCCAGGGTGGAACTCCAGTTTCTAAGGAAAATAGCGGCAATTGGACGTAGCAGGA